CAAAAAAGATACTTTAAACAATAGGAAGTGGCGCAGAAAATGGCCACCGTATACTATGTGTCGTTTTAGCCCTGCTTTAGATGACATTTGACAGAGATTATGACTTTTTGTTTGAATTTATATATTTACAATTTATTGTTATGTATAAATAAAAACCAATTTAGGAATAAATTAAAAGTACATGCAAATTGAACTAACGTTAATTAAAATCATACCCCTGATTAATAAACTTGGCGTGTATTGTGATCAGTTACACATGCTATGTACGTACGTACGTACGTACGTACGTACACAAGTTTAATAATTAATAATTAAACTTAGTCGATAGTAATTATCAAAAGGACATTACGGTGGAGTCATAGAACACTAGATGTGTGTGTGTACAAATTAAAATTTTGTTAGAATTGTTGAGATAGTAAATAATCCAGAAAACACACCAGTATTGTGTGTAAAATCTTCTAAAGGAAAACTTTCCTCAGCATAGTTTTTTATAGATAAGAAGCAGCAAATGAAGCAAGAAAATAAGGTGGAAATAAGCAGATCGCACTAGAATATCTAGACAAATTTTCTGAAATTGGCGATGCTAAAGTAATTTCTTATAAAGCTATTTTTTGCAGCAAAAACTTTATTGCAAGTATAAATTATCCAAATCAGAATATAAGAGAATTCAAAAAGAAGCTGCCCATCTTTTTGAGCGCACATCAGATGTAAATATTACAGACGCACATACAAAATACGGAGATTGTCTTTTAAATGGTCATGGAATCACAAAAGTCAAGCACGTGCTATAGAACTTTATAAAAAAACTGCTAATGAATGGAGTCTTATACACAATTTCGGTAATATTACGAAGATTTGGCAAGGATAGAAGAAGACAAAGGAGGTGCACATTATTTAAAGCTTGCTGCTTGGGAAAATTATAAAAAAGCCATTGATTGCTGCAAAAAATATGAAATTAATTGGCAATTAACCTAGAATTATATTGTTATACGGAATCATCCAAAAGTAGTCACAAAATAGCCTAGAATTGTTAAGAAACTTGTATTAGATTTTAGCATTTTATTAGATTTCTATTATGTTTTGTGCATCATTATATTTTATATTTCTATTATATCTAATCACAATATTATGTAATTTTACCATTAAAATTTGTAATTTACCAATTTTTAACAACCCTAGCTATATTCTAGTTTATGTAAAGGCATTTGTACTGTGAATTTTAATAAAAAATTTTAAAGCTATATTAGGCATGTTAATTCAGTCGATTATAAATCATGATCAAACGTATAACGATAAATAGTTTTATATCTGATTTTATAAATCATTGAGGGAGGCACAGTGCACAAAATTGTGGCATGACGTGTCCTGATTTTTTCCGGCAATATGTATACAAAACGGAATTTTGGATCTGCA